AGTAACAGCAGGAACAACAGCAACAGCAGCAGTGTATAGTAGTAGTAGAAGCAACAGCAGCAGCAGCAGCAGCAGTAGTAGTAGCAGTAACAACAGCAGTAACAACAGGAACAGCAGCAACAGCAGCAGCAACAACAGCAAGCAGAAGCAACAGCAGCAGTAACAACAGCAGCAGCAGTAGCAGTAACAGCAGCAGCAGCAGCAGCAACAGCAGCAGCAGCAACAGCAGCAGTGGTAAGCAGCAGTAACAGCAGTAACAGCAGCAACGGCAGCAGTAGCAACAGCAGCAGCAACAACAGCAACAGCAGTAGCAGCAGCAGTAACAACAACAAAGTAACAACAGCAGCAGCAGCAGTGGTAGCAGCAGCAGCAACAGCAGCAGAAGCAGCAGCAGCAAAGCAGCAACGAGTAACAGCAGCAGTAACAACAGCAGCAGCAGTAGCAGTAACAGCAGCAGCAGCAGCAGCAACAGCAGCAACAGCAACAGCAGCTGATAGCAGCAGTAACAGCAGTAACAGCAGCAACGGCAGCAGTAGCAACAACAGCAGCAGCAACAACAGCAGTAGTAGCAGCAGTAACAGCAGCAGCAGCAACAGCAGCAGCAACAGCAGCAGCAGCAGCAAGCAACAACAGCAGCAGCAACTGCGGCAGTAGTAACAGCAGTAGTAGCATTAACAGCAGCAGCAGCAACAGCAGCAGCAGTAACATCAGCAGTAACATCAGCAGTAGTAGCAGTAGCAGCACTGCAGCAGCAACAACAGCAGTAGCAGCAACCGGGAACAGCAACCAGCAGCAGCAGCAACAGCAACGGTAATAGCAGCAGTAGTAGCAGCAGCAGCAACAGTAGCAACAACAACAGCGGCAGCAACAGCAGCAGCAGTAGCAACAGCAACAGTAGCAGCAGCAGCAACAGTAGCAACAGCAACAGCAGCAGTAGCAACAGCAGCAACCAAGAACCGGCAATGTTAACGGCAACCAGTAGTAGCAGTAACAACAGCAACAACAGCAGCAGCAACAGCAACAACAGCAGTAGCGGCAGCAGCAACAGTAGCAACAGCAACAGCAGCAGCAGCAGCAGCAAGAGCAGCAGTAGTAGCAGCAGCAATGGTAGCAGTAACAACAGCAGCAACAGCAGCAGTAGCAGCAGCAGCAACAGTAGCAACAGCAACAGCAGCAGCAGCAGCAGCAAGAGCAACCAGTAGTAGCAGCAGCAATAGTAGCAGTAACAACAGCAGCAACAGCAGCAGCAGTAGCAACAGCAGCAGTAGCAACAGCAGCAGCAGCAGCAACAGCAGCAACAGTAACAGCAACGGCAGCAACAACCGCAACGAACAACAACAGCAGTGCAACAGCAGCAACGGCAACAGTAGCAGCAACAACAACAGCAGCAAGTGGCAGCAGCTGTGGCAACGGCAACAACAGCGGTAACAACAGCAGCAGCAACGGCAGCAGCGGCAACAGCAGCAGCAACAGTAACAACAGCAACGGCAACAACAGTAGCAGTAGCAACAGCAGCAGCAGCAACAGTAGCAACAACAGCTGCAGCAGCAATAACAGGGACAGCAGCAGGGACAGCAGCATCAGCAGCAGCAGCATGCAGCAGCAGCAGCAGCAGTAGCAGGAGCAGTATCAGCAGCAGCAGTAGCAGGAGCAACAGCAGCAAAGCAGCAGCAGCGAACAGCAGCAGAAGCAGCAGGAGCAGCAGCAGCAGCAGGACAGTATCAGCAGCAGTAGCAGGGAACAGTATGAGCAGCAACAGCAGCAGCAGGACAGCAGCAGCAGGAGCAGTATCAGCAGCAGCAGTAGCAGAACAGCAGCAGCAGCAGCAGCAGGAGCAGTATGAGCAGCAGCAACGGCAGCAGGAACAGTATCAGCAGCAGCAGTAGCAGGAGCAGCAGTAGCAGCAGCAGCAGGAGCAGAAGCAGGAGCAGCAGCAGGAGCAGCAGTAGCAGGAGCGGCGGCGGTGGCGGCTGCAACGGTGGCAATGTCATTATTACCATAGCGGTACTTGGTGTGTGTGTGAGAAAGAGAGAGAGAGAGAGAGAGAGAGAGGCACACGGGGTGGTTGAGGTCCTCAACGCCTCATCCATCTTGTACTTGTCAGTCCTGCACCACGCCCTCACGCCCACGGCCAGAGGGCGTGCGGAGGGAGGGTCCTGCGCCACGCCCTCACGCCCACAGCCAGCGTGCGTGCGGAGGGAGGGTCCTTCACCACGCCCTCACGCCCACGATGAGCGGGCGTGCGGAGGAAGAGAGTTCATCCACGCCCTCACGTCCACGACCAACGGGCGTGGCAGAAAGAGGGACGCAACTTTCACCAAACCTCCCACGCCCTCACGCCCGAGATTTCCGAGTGTCTTGGTACTCCAGTCACACCCACAAAACCCGTACCAACTGTTTACGCCCTCCCACAGGAAAGCGCCAGGTGGGTCTTAATTATGTTTGGATAATTCTTCTTGTCTGCTCGGAGGTGAAGACTTGCTGCCTCGCCTACTGCTGCTTCTGCTGCTGTGCTCCTCATGTTACTGCTGCACTTTACACTACTGTTGCTGTTCCTAGATCTATCTAAACTAGTGTTGCTTGTTCTGCTTTTCTGACTCCTGTGACGGCTTAGTTTTTGCTGTTGCTGTACCTCTTGCTGCTGTTTCGGCAACTGCTGTATATCTACTTCTGCTGTTCTCAGTGCGGTCTCTCCTATAACTAACCAGAACATAAATCTCATCTTAACAACAAAACACAAAACATCAAATTCCTTCTTAATCAAAAACCCGAACCCAAGACGTATTAAGTCGGATCCAACTCTGGGAACGTCTTCATAAATCCAGAGTCAATACATCAGAGCTCATGTCAGTATACAGACCTGGAATTATGCTTATCCTTAAGGAACGCCTGGACGTCAAGAACGGATCGGATGAAGACGGATTCAGCACTGGATCTCGTGTATGTTGTGGGTGGGTCAGACGATGCAGTAACTATGCAATTATGCAGGCGTGTTCCTTTAGGATAAATACAGGACTCGCGGCCTCATTATTTGACCTCTGGCAGAGATAGAAGAAATTGTGGGCTTTTCTTAATGGTTATATTAAATCGACTATCTGTATGTTGAGATGATAGTAATGATGATAATTATATAATTGATAGTAGCAATAACAACAACAAATATGATACTACTACTACTACTATTTCTACTACCACTACTTTTTATGCGTGGCCCAGCTCCCCCAATAGCCACACCTTCGCTACCACTTTATTGCCTCAAAATTAAATATCCTTATACATAAGTAGCTATCCTAGCCGTGTTGACTTAGTTGAGCCGCAGATCTATGCGGCATTCAGTGACTGTTGCCTCAATAATAATGCCAATACTAATATAACAACATAACATTATCATACTAAGACAAGAAACAAGAATACATACACATAAGGTATACATAACTTACTCAATGACTGGTGTAAAGTCTCACCCACTACTGACCGGTACAAGGTGACTGATATCAAAACCAATACTGACTGTCCCTTCACTCACTGTCATTCACTCCTCACTGACTGTCTCACCAAATGTGTTCCGGTTTAGTGGTGTTCTGCTGCTCAAGGTCCTACACTCAACGGCGAAAAAGTGAGAAATAATCATCGATATTTTTGTTTTTGTTCATACATGTTTCTTATACGTAAAATACACAAATGCAAATATAAATGAATAACAAATAAATGAAAATCAACAACACTAATAATAAGATGAACCGATTAGTTACATAAGCCTACAGGAAAATAATGATTAATTAATATTTAAAAAAATGAAATAAATTAGATTAACAATGACTAATTACATAAATAATAAAAAAATAAATAAATTTACTATATAGAGTATGTTAACAAGTGTAAATAAAATACACATGTAAAATATATTTTCTTATAATACGTCAAACTTATTCGTAAGCCATTAAAAAACAAATAATCCCTCAAAATTGTTCTAATTAGGGGCCTAGCCTGTGATATTCTGGTATGTAGCCCAGCCTGTGATAGCTCTGGTATGTAGCTCAGCCTGTGATAGTCTTGGTATGTAGCCCAGCCTGTGATAGCTCTCTGGTATGTAGCTCTGCATAGTCTCTGGTATGTAGCCCAGCTGATAGCAGTCTGTGGCTCACCTGATAGTCTCGTATGTAGCCAGCTGTGATAGCTCTGGTATGTAGCCCAGCCTGTGATAGTCTCTAGTATGTAGCCCAGCCTGTGATAGTCCTCTGGTATGTAGCCTAGCCTGTGATAGTCTCTGGTATGTAGCTCACCTGATAGTCTCTGGTATGTAGCCCAGCTGTGATAGTCTCTGGTATGTAGCCCAGCCTGTGATAGTCTCTGGTATGTAGCCTTGCCTGTGATAGTTCTCTGGTATGTAGCCCAGCCTGTGATACCCTCTGTATGTAGCCTGCCTGTGATAGCCACTGGTATGTAGCCTTGCTCTGATAGCCACTGGTATGTAGCCTAGCCTGTGATAGTCTCTGGTATGTAGCTAGCCTGTGATAGTCTCTGGTATGTAACCTAGCCTGTGATAGTCTCTCTGGTATGTAGCCTTGCCTGTGATAGTATCTGGTATGTAGCCTTGCCTGTGATAGCCTCTGGTATGTAACCCAGCCTGTGATAGTCTCTGGTATGTAGCCTTGCCTGTGATAGTCTCTGGTATGTAACCTAGCCTGTGATAGTCTCTGGTATGTAGCCCAGCCTGTGATAGTCTCTGGTATGTAGCCTTGCCTGTGATAGCCTCTGGTATGTAACCTAGCCTGTGATAGTCTCTCTGTATGTAGCCCAGCCTGTGATAGCCTCTGGTATGTAACCCAGCTGTGATAGTCTCTGGTATGTAGCCCAGCCTGTGATAGTCTCTCTGGTATGTAGCCCAGCCTGTGATACCCTCTGGTATGTAGCCTGCCTGTGATAGCCACTGGTATGTAGCCTTGCCTGTGATAGCCACTGTAGCCCAGCCTGTGATAGCCTCTGGTATGTAGCCTTGCCTGTGATACCCTCTGGTATGTAGCCCAGCCTGTGATAGCCTCTGGTATGTAGCCCAGCCTGTGTTAGCCTCTGGTATGTAGCCTTGCCTGTGATAGTCTCTGGTATGTAGCCCTCGCTTATAGCCTCTGGTATGTAGCCCAGCCGTGATAGCCTCTGGTATGTAGCCCAGCCTGTGATAGCCTCTGGTATGTGAGCCTCGCCTATGATAGCCCTGTATGTAGCCCGCCTATGATAGCGTCTGGTATGAGCTTACCTGTGATAGCCTCTGGTATGTAGCCTTGCCTGTGATAGCCTCTGGTATGTAGCCTGCCTATGATAGCCTCTGGTATGTAGCCTCGCCTATGATAGCCTCTGGTATGTAGCCTCGCCTGATAGCCTCTCGTATGTAGCCTCGCCTGTGATAGCCCTGGTATGTAGCCTAGCATATGATAGCCTCTGGTATGTAGCCCGCCTGATAGCCCTCTGGCATGTAGCCTGCCTTGATAGCCTTGGTATGTAGCCACATGATAGCCTCTGTATGTAGTCAGCATATGATAGCCTCTGGTATGTAGCCCAGCCTGTGATAGCCTCTGGTATGTAGCCCTCGCCTATGATGGCCTCTGGTATGTAGCCTCGCCTGTGATAGCCTCTGGTATGTAGCCTGTGATAGCCTCTGGTATGTAGCCTTGCCCTGTGATAGCCTCTGGTATGTAGCCCAGCCTGTGATAGCCTCTGGTATGTAGCCTAGCCTGTGATAGCCTCTGGTATGTAGCCTGCCCAGCGTCTCTGTATGAGCCCAGCCTGTGATAGCCTCTGGTATGTAGCCTGCCTGTGATAGCTCCTGGTATGTAGCCTGCCTGTGATAGCCTCTGGTATGTAGCCTTGCCTATGATAGCCTCTGGTATGTAGCCTCGCCTATGATAGCCTCTGGTATGTAGCCTCGCCTATGATAGCCCTCTGGTATGTAGCCTAGCCTATGATAGCCTCTGGTATGTAGCCTCCTTGATAGCAACCCCAAACCAACCCAAAGCCTGTGATAGCCTCTGGTATGTACCCCAACTCAGCCAGATAGCCTCCTGGTATAGCCTTGCCTGTGATAGCCTCTGGTATGTAGCCTTGCCTGTGATAGCCTCTGGTATGTAGCCTCGCCTATGATACGCTCCTGTATAGCCTCGCCTATGATAGCCTCTGGTATGTAGCCTCGCCTATGATAGCCTCTGGTATGTGGCCTAGCATATGATAGCCTCTGGTATAGCCTTGTCTAACCTCTGAGAGAATAAAATGCACTCAACACATAATCTCCAATAGCCCGAGAGAAGTAGCCTCTGCTGGGTGAGTGTCTGGTAGCCTGTAGCCCCCGCCGGGTAGTCTCTGATAGCCTGATAGGTGCAGTAGCCTCCGCCCACGATCATATCATGGGTTACGAGTGACCCACCCTCATCCATAACAGATCCGTCACTTCTGCAGTGTGGCTCTCTCTCTCACACGTTAGTTCCGAGGTCTGAATAACCAAACGGTCGCACGATAGATTATCTCTCTCAACGTTAGGTTTAGTTGTGTGTTAAAAGTACTGACTTGACTTTCATTAAGATTTCGGGCTAAGTCTTGCGTGTTGTGGACATCTTTCCTTATCCCAGACAGACAGACAGACAGACAGACACACACACAGACAGACAGACACACACACAGACAGACAGACACACAGACACACAAACAGACACACAGACACACAGACACACAGACACACAAACAGACACACAGACAAAACTACAATACACTTATAATCCCGATAATAAACAAACATAAAAATAATACCATCACTGAAAACATAAAACACAGAAACAAACAACAACAAACCCAGAAACACCAAACACAAACACAGACTGACAAACAAACACAAACACAGACTGACAAACACAAACACAGACTGACAAACAAACACAAACACAGACTGACAAACAAACACAAACACAGACTGACAAACAAACACAAACACAACTGATCCACAAACAGACTGACAAACAAACACCAAACACAGACTGACAAACAAACACAAACACAGACGACAAACAAACACAAACACAGACTGACAAACAAACACAAACACAGACTGACAAACAAACACAAACACAGACTGACAAACAAACACAAAACAAAGACTGACAAACAAACACAAACACAGACTGACAAACAAACACAAACACAGACTGACAAACAAACACAAACACAGACTGACAAACAAACACAAACACAGACTGACAAACAAACACAAACACAGACTGACAAACAAACACAAACACAGACTGACAAACAAACAAACAAAAACCCATAAACAGTCAAACAAAAGAAATAATAAAAACAGACAAAAACACCAAGAAAGATCAAAGCCTCAAAAAAAAAAATTCCAACCTAGATACGTCGTCCATCAGAGGTGTATGTGATTACCTCCCTCACTGTGTACTTACCTGCGACTTTGTTGACACTTTGCCAGCAAGACTCGGCTAGGCTCTTTTATCTTCCTCTGCTACTAATGATGTTTAGTCAGCGCCCATTACGATGATCACAGTGTAAATACTACTGGCTGCTGGATGATATAGAACTCAAGGAAGGATTTAGTAAGTCACTTGAAGAAGGTGAAATCCTCAATAACCGTAGAGTGAAATTCTGGGGGGTGTTATAGAGAGACAGACTCCATCAACGTTGATTACCATGTTATTGTCTCCTCTCTCTCACTGGCACCACACATAGTTTTATTAATATAATTCATCTCATTATTGTCATTGGATCACCTGATGATTAGACACCCTAATGTTACCTTGGGGTTAGGTTAGGTTAGGTTAGGTTAATCATAAAGTAAAATAAATATGGTTGTAATCTTTTTAATTTTCGGTTAATTGTCTCGTTATTAAAGGTCATATAAATACATATAATAAATTATATCTCATCATCTGGAGGTGAACCTAACCTAACCTAACCTAACCTAACCTGACAACAACTTACCTCAGTGTTGGCTCGTCAAAACATCTCTCAAGTCAGTCACTCAGTTAATGTTAGGGTCAGCATTCATGGAGCTATCTGACGCAGCTGTGTGTGTCAAGGGGACGTCAGGTCACAAGTCAGACACCACTCACTGTGTGGGAGGGAGGAGAGAGTAAGGGGGAGGAGGGAGAAGGAAGGGAGAGAAGGAGAGGAAGGGAAGATAGGAGTTGGGGGAGGAGGAAGGGGCGAATGATGGACCAACCAAGTCACTCGTTTAGATAAAGTGTACTCCTTTCAACCAATAAGAGAACACAATGCTGAAACAGTTACCCAATAAGAGAACAACGTTAAAATAGTCAACCAATGAGAGGACAGTAGTGGAATAGACAGCCAATCAGAGAACGACATAGTTTTTAGTTTAACAACTTTATTGGCAGAGCTAGTAGTACAGTTTGCCTATTCTGAGTAATTCAGTCAGGTCTTGACACTGAGGGTGGTATCACTTCTCACTGTCACGCAGGACAGAGGTTCATACACAAAGAAATACATCATATTCATTAACAGCTATAAATGTATAGAGGTCAGATTCATATGGGTAATGTCACTGTTCACTGCCATGCAGGACAGAGGTTCGTACACAAAGAGTTGCATCATATTCATTGACAGTACATATACATATATGTACACACACACACATACACATATACACATATACATATATACATACATATACATATATATATACACATATGCACACATACATACATACATATACGTCGGTCAGATTCATGTGGGTAATGTCACTCTTCACTGCCATACAGGACAGAGGTTCGTACACAAAGAATGCATCATATTCATTGACACTATATATAGGTCAGATTCATGTGGGTAATGCCACTGTTCACTGCCATGCAGGACAGAGGTTCATACACAAAGAAGGAAATACATGATATTCATTAGCAGTATAGAAAAACATATTTAACCAATAAGATATAAGAGAGAGTTGTCAGGTTGGCCCTGGTAGATGACGTCACCGGTACTTGTTTCACAGCGCCCTCCAACTGATGACGTCACCTTCTCTAATGACGTCACCTTTTTCTTATGACACGGTGTTCTCTGATTGGCTGGAATATTCTTGTCTTGCTGTCTCATTGGTCATTTCATCAGGTTGTTAAAATATTGGCGGAGGAATACACCTTTCGAAACAACAGCTTTCCGCATGATATGTTTTTGAGGCTAAATACCGTTTTTTTTCTTCTTATTACCTCCTGTGTTCCTTCCTTTCTCCTTAATTATGTGTTTTTATCTCTTCTCCCTCCACCCCCCCTGAAAAGTCACACACACTCCTCAATCTTCCTCTCTTCCTGCCCCACCATATCATTTCTCTTCCATTTTACTATTTTTTATCTCCTCTCTTATTTATTTCATTCCTTTCCCTTGTTTCATTTCCTGTCCAACAAAATGTGAGAAAATCCAGCCAAACACTTTAGCTGCTCCATTCTCATATCATCCATGCACATCGAGTTTTCTGTCATCATCTCTTACTTATTTTCATTTCTCTCTCACTTCTCCTCATCTCTCTCTCACTCCCTCTGTAAGTTCTCTCATTCCTCCTGCCGTCTCTACTACTTAAGGTCCATTCTTCATCTCCATTCCTTCTCACAACAGTGTACCAGAGTCAGGAAACCTCCATCTTCATATCCTCAATGGTCGCCACCTCCCGCGTCCCGACCAGTCGCCTTGACCGCGCGCGCACAGGTGAGTTATGTTCATTAACTCTAACACTCCCCTCCGCCCACAATTTTCCGGATTTTGGGATAATGGCTATGGCCTTAACGCGACGTTGGGATCAGTGGGACGTGTAATATGGGTTTATTACGGAGGTTAACCGCGATTTATTTCCTGTCGGAAGCCGCAAGTGCATTATTGGAACGAGGCCGCGTTTATAAGACTTTAGTCCTGTCTGGGGATTAAAAGAATGTTTTTCTGTGGGGTTTATGCGAAGCTCACACTGTACTTTATTTTGAGATTAAGAGGATGGCACATTTTCCTGAATTATTTTTTTTTTATAAAATAAAGGATTATGAGAATAAATTTAGATATTTTAATAATTAGAATTTCCTTACAAATATCTGGCTTGAGAGAAGCTACTTAACAATTTAAAGAATAAAGTTATTTACCTACCTGTATCTAGTTTATAAATACATATGTATAAATATGAGTGTGTAAATATACAAATATGTATATGTACAAAAATTACGCTGCAAAGTCGTGAAAGTATCAGTTTTTCGCTCCCTTAGTAACGCGGCCAAAGGAAGGCAGAAGCAAATAGGAATTAAGATTTCTCTTTGATGAGTTAAAACGTGGCCTTGGTGTTCTGCTTTAGAGGAAAGTATGTTTATTAATCGTTATCTCTCTCTCTCTCTCTACTGTTCGACATTATTTGACTAGTTTACTATTTATGTGTTTTCATAAGATTCTTTTCGAAGAGTCGTGTCATGGGGGAGAGTTAATTTTAATAAGAAATAAGAAATTATGACAACATTCTAATATGAACACAATGATAGAATGATTAGTTATATTTACACACACACACACACACACACACACACACACACACACACACACGGCCAGTATGTAATCTCTCCCTTCCTTCCTCCTCCTTCTTCTTGCTCCTCTTAAACGTGACACAGGGAGCCAACATTCCTACTTCTCCTCCGTCCCGTACTCACTCACCTCTTCCTCCTCTCACGGAAAGAGCCACTTCCTCCTCCCCCCCCTCCCCCTTCCTCTATTCTTCCTCCCCCTCCCCTCTCTTCCTCCCCCTTCCCCCTCTTCCTCATCCCTTCCCTCTTATTCTCTTCCTCCCCCTTCCCCTCTCGTCCCCCCCCCTTCCTTCCTCCCTCCTTCCCCCTTCCTTCCCCTTCCCCCTTCCTTCCCTTCCCCCTTCCTCACCCTCCCCCTTCCTCCTCCCTTCCTCCCTCCCCCTTCCTCCCTTCTTCCTCCCCCTCCCTTCCTCCTCCTTCCCCTCTCTTCCTCCCCTTCCCTCTCTTCTCCTCACCCCTTCCCCTCTCTTCCTCCCTCACTTCCTCCCTCCCTTCCTCCCCTTCCCCCTTCCTCCCTCCCATCTCTTTCCTCCCCCCCTTCCTCCCCCCCTTCCCTCTCTTTCCTCCCCCCTTCCCACTCTTTCCTCTTCCTCCCCCTTCCACCCTCCCTCCCTCCCTCCCCCACAATATGGGACTCCTAACTTTCCTTCCCTTTGTCCCCTGCAGAATTTAATATCCCACCAACCCCACCATCACCCACCATCACCCACCGTCACCCACCATCCCTACACCATCACCCACCATCACCCATCATCACCCACCATCCCTACAACATCCCCACCAACACCCACCATCCCTACACCATCCCCCACCATCACCCACTATCA